GAGAATAAACAACACACGTCCCAAAACAGGATGTTCACCAATCCGAACAACTTTCCAATCAACTGCGAGCTAGCATTGCCATGGCTAAAACGCAATCTTGTTAAAGGCAGTTGGGACAATAATTTGGTACTCTGTCTAAAATGGTAGCAGGGTGCTAAATAGTGGGAAAGTGGCGAAAAAGCAAAGTGAAGCGGTCGAAAACTTGCAAAAAAGCTTTGTTCTACAGGCTCAGAAAGTGACTTCGGACGAGTTTCCCGCTGGCATCGTGCCAATGATTGCTACGGCAGACACGGCTGCATGCTTACATCCATGCAGCACTGCAGTCGTTTCATATTAATTCCTTCGCTTCATATTTTACTTCGCAAATAAAGCGATAGGAGCACTGCGATTGGTCGGACATTAGTGGGCGGGGGCGAGTGCGGTGGGTATCCGGGTCGGTATGTTGAAGCATGATAGGGCACTGTAAGGGTACGTTCTTTGGAAAGAGCGCCGATTCAGTCCTGCTAGTCGTATTAGCTCTACATGTCTTGAAGATCTATCCAACTTACACTGCCGTTACAATCCAATAAATGCTGCCGAGTTTGTTAGGCGTTCTTCCGACGATCCAAGCATTCCTTCGTTGATAGGGAGAACCTTGTCCCCACCGTTCGACCATTCATTGAGGGTGGTGTTCTACTTTGATCTTTTTCTCTGACTTTGATAGCAGAAATTTTTTTTCCGAGTCGGACGCTTGCAATTTAGTTCCGACATTCCACTGGGTTGGGCCACAAGTAATGGCTTTTTTCGTAACTTTTCCTCACAATTTTGGGCTAAAGATGAAACATTTTGCCACTGATATTCGTACTGTTTCGCAGGGAATTGCATGCCCTATAACATGGTCCCTTTGGTTTTTTTATAGAGGATTTTGTTCCTACTAATTTTCAAGTGCTCAAACGGCAGTGTATAGGTCGACGAAATTCAGAATTGCGGGCAACCCCTATTTTGAACATACATCTTGTTGAAAGTCATGTCTCTTAAAAATGCTTATAATTCGAAGGCAGTTGGCACGATAAATCCCCCAAGACGACTAGGATCAATACTCCTGGCAGGATAGAATTCCGCGACCCTGGGCAGGCGCTGCATAGCGGTTTCCCCGAGGAAGGTGCCCTTATAAGGGCCCTATCAAGCCACAACTTTACGTCCCAAACGCCCGCCACGCCCGCCCGCCCACAAATGGACGACCTGACGCTCTAATCGATTCATTTGCTAAGCAAATTATGAAGCGAAGGGATTGGTATGAAGCGGCCGTGATGCTGCATGGATATATGAGTACACATATGCAGCCGTACCTTCGGTAGCGGTTATTGGCAAGATGCCTACGGGAAACTCGTCCAAAATTGATTTTGAACACATTGAGAACGGAGGCTCTTTCTTCGCAGGATTTTGACCGTTTCACTCCGTTCTTTCGCCATTTCCCCACTATACAGCGCCCTACTAGCATTTTAGGCTAAGTAGGAAACCATCGTGCCAACTGCCTTTAAGCGATTCAAGGTTTCAGTTCTTACTTCACAGACAAGTATCGAACCTAATGCCTTATCGAGTAAATATGAAGTGAGAGCTTAGTGAATCACATTTTCACGGATTTTCACACCAAAGAAATCGGGAATCGGAGCAGTAGATGTCGTCGATGGTTTTCGCTTTCTTATTGAGCATCACCTCCACTTGATGGGAACGTTTGAAGGTAGAGCCCTCGATCACTTATAATTATCTGAGCTCTTAGGGAGAGCTAGTGTGGACTGCAGCAAACTTGTGGACTGCAGCGAACTTGTATAAGTTTCATTTCAGAAAATGTTAAAGTAGCGGGGGTTGGGCGGGAGGTTGGTCAAGTGACCCCGCCCACGTTGATAGATCCTCAGTCATGTTCGTTTGCATGCTCTCTCGCTGCTTTGTGCTTTCGCCCGATATCAATGTCGGTTCCCTTAGCACAAGTGAAGCTTTATTTGGAGTGTTACGAAAGTTTTCCTCTCATTTTTTCTTCCGCGAGCAAGTCAACACATAAACTTCAGTTTCCAATCTCGCTACTCATGGAATGTTCGCTGACTCAACACGTAGCCCGCCTTCAAAACTTGGTGGATGGGTTCAGACAGATCGCTAAGAGGCCGCCCAATGCGGTGCACATTTAGAAGGTCCGAATTCCCACCTTTGAGTCGGATAACGGTTAGGACTGCCACGAGAGGTCAGCCTGCCGGCGGTCAGCCAGAGGCGGGCCCCGCGATGTTTTCGCTATGTGCGCGGCGTTTGCATAGTCCATTAGATTTCCAACAGTCTGCTTTATTACTTGCAGGTGTGAAAACTATGAAAGGAGTGGGCCCGATGTTCAACTATTAGTATAAAACAATGTCCATTTACATAGAAATAATATTTAGAGAATACATCAGCAATCTACAAAAATTCACTTTAGGGTGAATCCTTCTTTTGCACTCCTTTGCAAGGTATTGTAAAGGCCTAAGATTTGCGGCCAGACGGGAAAAGTAGGTAGTATTAAGAAATACAGCAATCCGTTGAATAAATACAGCTGCCATTCAAAAATATTGACGTCCCATTGAATATTCTGGTTTGGCAAAATGCCAAGCAGATTTGCGTGATGCCAGAACTATGTGAAGGGACCGGGATCTTAATCGCACGACTGTATGGGTCTCGTCCAATCACGGCAGCAATCGCCGCGCGCGGCGAGGCTGCCGTGATAGGCAGCCGCGAGTCCTAACCTACACCCCATTCTATAAGTACCATGACTTTGAACACTCCTGCTTTCACGCATGACATGTGGCTCACCCACCGCAGAGTCCCGTCTCTTGAACAGGCTCATCCCCTGGCCGCAACATGTCTTTTGCACCTCTTGATGCCTCGGCGGCCGCAGACCTTTATTGCTCAGCGCTTTGGCCGTTTCGCGCCAGACCCCGTCCTCCCCGACTGATGCCGTTTGGGCGCGCTCAGTTTTGGCTGCTGGCTCATTTATGAGGTGCTTAGATCACCAAATCCGCTGAAAATGAATGCTGGGTATTGTAACATCCTGATTACAAATACGACATTCACTCTTGGCGTTGGCGCTGATGGAGGACACTACGATTATCTTCTGGGCTCAGCTTTAGCAGAGCGCAGAAAATGATTAGCGCCAACTTCAAGAATGAATGTCATATTCGTAATCAGGATGTTAAATAAGTCCTGCATGCGAGTTTCCAGGATTATTGTGGCTTATGCACTTTTATAATTGAGCCGCAGCCACCTCAAGCAATGACAGACAGCTACCCCCCCTCACACCAAAAACTCTAGGTTGTCAAGCAACCCGGGGTGCGAATGTACTCACGATCACAGCGCTCGTGCCCATTTCTGCGATTGGGAAGCAACGCTCTATACCGCAGAAACATGGGGACCTTAACATAGGAACACAGGTACCGTAAGACGCCAGAGTAAGGAAAATATCTAGGAATGCAATGAGTTCGAGCCCGCTTCTTTCATCGCCAGTTAGCGGTCACAGACCAATGTTCTATTTGAATGCACAGATTATAACGGCACTCACATAACGGTCATTGGTGCCACCCAGAGAGTGAACACAAGAAGTACGCCAAAATTAGCCAGAGTGTGGGAGAAGCACAGCAAGCCGAACGAATTCCTCAGCACTGGATTGTATCTAACGGTCAGCATGGCCGCACCGTTTGACAGTAATCCGAAAACGCCCACCTGAAATCGGAGAAATCAGAATCTGGCTTATAGATTAGAGCAGATACCAGGCCTTCAGGGGCTCTGGTAAGAGAAAGCTGCGCTGCAACTCACAAGATTCCAACAATCGCCGAAACGGCATATGTCGATTGCAAAGTTGACGGGTGCATCGCTTCACACTTGTGGAATTGAACATCTGCTAGAAAAAAGCTTGTCAAGTGTTGATCTTTGGGAATAGGCTATCTTATCGAGCAGAGCATTTGAGAGAGTTTGTGCATAGATTGCAAAGGGACGATCCTATAGCGCTGAAGGACAAAGAAACTGTGCACATACAGTGTTTTTCGCTGCGGATGCTGGAACTCAGGGGGAGGGGGTAGCCCCAGGGCCAGCTCGCTCCCACCATTTGGGGTGAAGTAGAGGCAAATGCAACAGCTGGGTGGAGGACGGCTGACGCCCCTGCACAAAACCCATTGTCATTCCCGCCCTCATGCTAACGAAGACGACTATACTTTTAAAATTTTTCAAAATTTAGCCAGGACAGAGGTATTGTGCTGGTGTGGGTAGTAGCTAGTAGTCTCTCCGCTTACCACCGTCACTACGCCCGGATTCCACAAGTCAAGTCCGTACCTTGTCTTATGGTGGGATCCCGTGGGGTGTTGTGGTTTACAACAATCTATCTTAATATTAGCAACCCGAGATGGAGATTTTGCTTGAGAATTATCGTGTGAAAAAGCGAAAGTAGCATATAACTAGGACGGGGTAGCCTGCACGGAAACTTATTCTTTGTTCGAGAAACTGTTCAGGGACCATATTTGTTCAACAATCACGTTTGCACCAAGAAAACCTGGCTTCCCTTCGGGGCTAATAAACCAAGACCACATATGAAAGGTGAAGTGAGTGCGCTGAACTAAAAAGGCATTCAAGTAAGGTTATCGGACAATTCTAAGTTAGAGTGAAATGCGTGAGACAAAAGCTTTCCTATTTCTCAGGCTTCTCACCACATAATTTGGAAACCGATGTCAAACCTCATCTTTTCCATACTAACACGAAACTATTCGTGAAGGAGCATTCAAGGGCTGCTTCTGCGAAAATGAGAAAACGCTGTGCGAAAAGTTCCCAATTGAAAGTTTGTTAGCGTTCCTTTGCACAGAAAGCACGTCTCTCCCTTCAGGCAAATGTCTTTTCCTTCCACACCGTAGTTCTAATTTCGCACAAGAAGCTCTTTGGATACCCCCTCAATGCTATGAGCGCGTTATTCTCGACCCCGCTTCTCACGGGACCCACTTCACACCCGGAAGGAGGATCCGGGTGTTGAAGGGTCCCGGTGAGAAGTTTTCCATGAGAGGGAGGGCCAGTCGGATCGGCCGGCGAAGCCGGCCGAATGGTCGAAAAAAAATTGTTTTGAGAATTACCGCACTTCAGTGCTTGTATATATCCCCCAGAAGACAGTCAGCAAAATTTTCTATACCGCAATCCCGTCACTGATGAGGAAGCGCAGAATAAATGGCACCAACCATTTGGTATATTTGGTATACTCCCTACGGTTATTCCTAACTAACTTCATCTGCCCAACCATTGCTCAGTTTCACTTACTCCCCATTTCCTGGAGTTTTTCGGATATGTTTTGAGGGTTTTTGTCCCCGGCACCGTTCACTTCGGCGAACGCCCTGCCCATCGCGGGTGTGACTCCCTCATTTCATCCGCCAACTGACTGCTTATCGTTTCCCACAATTTCCGCTCTCCGGGATCTTCTGGAACCGAATTACGAATTTTTGAAAGTTCTGTAGCGAGCACCGCCCACCTATAGCACGCCTCGCCCATTTTGTCCCCGGCACCGTTCACTTCGGCGAACGCCCTGCCCATCGCGGGTGTGACTCCCTCATTTCATCCGCCAACTGACTGCTTATCGTTTCCCACAATTTCCGCTCTCCGGGATCTTCTAGAACCGAACTACGAATTTTTGAACTATGTAGCTCACAACTGTGCGCATGCCCCGCCCACAGTGGGCGGGGCTTAGCTCAGTTCATGTGTGTTCCGTACATCTTGACCCATGCCCTACCCAACCCACCCTTGACCCGCCCCCTCCAACTGGCTCTTCAGGTGATTCCGAATTTCCGGACAGACAGACAGACAAACAGACGTTGCCGTTTATATATAGTAGGATCCTACCAGCCCAAACGAACTGAACGCGGCTGTAGTGTCAAAAAAAAGTTTGATGTATAATATTCAAATAATGCTGCCATCGGTTTCTATAGAGCGCGTGCTCTCCTGTGCATGTATAGATTTCTTGTGAAGGATATCATTCTTTATGGGGAAGTACATATACCGTCCACCATACCATGCTCTAGTTCTCTACAACTTCAGCCAATATCTACCTCGTTCACCACTGAGAACCGTGTATTTGCTCACTAAACCGCTTTAGCCCAAGACAAGTTAAGAAACCAGTATTTGAGACTATAGATCAGCGAGAGGATCTTATGGGCAACAATGAAGTATTGTACCAGAGACAGGATACGATTGGGCAAATTTGCTATGTATGAAGGTTTAAAAAAATAAAGAGATTGAGGCGAGTGATAGGCGTGGTCACGGAACTGGAGCTTTTATGCCTGGCCTTTTCCAAGAATTGAAGTTTAGACCATGGGGAGAACTACAAAGCGACCACAGATCGGCTGAGAAATAGGGGTCCAAACAGGCAGTCTGGAATCCCTCAGGGTCAACACCAGAGGATGCTGATTTCGTTTAGCTAGTCATCAAGTTTTACCGTCTATCATCAAAAAAGCAGCTTCATTTTTACTACTTCTGATTTATGGTCTCGCTTAAGTTTTCATTTTAGTAGAGGTCTTCAGCATCATTGGTATCAGTTGAAACACTCCAGCTCGTGCTTGGACCGTACGAATAATTTCTTGACGTCGTTTTGGTGTTTTACCAATGAAAGTACTTGCACGTGTAAATATTTATTACGACGTGCTCGTACCGAACCGTATAACCGACATAAATGCACTAAAAAGTAGGCTTATATACAGGCGGTGCTGGGCGCAGGTATCGTCAGATGGCCGCCCCCCCGGGGTCACTTAAAATATAGAGTTAAAGAGTAGCCGCGCACCGCCCAAGAGCCACGGCAATTTAACTAGAGCATCCAGCTGAATGGCAACTTACGATACCGACCAGTCATGCCTGACGCGTATGAATCTTAAGGACGAGCCCCACACCGACACGCGCGCCCCAGCCAGCCGACCAGTGGTTATCTTGGGAGCAGTACGCGATTGAGTTCGCCGGCGAATGTGTTACCACTTCACTCTGATAGGGTGACGCTGTAATATACTACTTGAGGGTTGTGAAATCACAAGCAGTCGCCGGTAGCCACTCCCACCGGCAACTCTACTCTGTACGAGTTCATGCAGACGTCTACCTCAGAGGGGTAACCAAGCCTCCGGGGCGGTGCATGTTGACGATGGGCGGTTTCTGTTAATTTTATATTTCCTGAATTTCTTTCTTTGCTTAGTGTCGAAATTGACAATGCCCTTGCTTTTTTCACTTTGGTTTATGATAAGGAATTACGATTTTGCATGTTCGCGGACTGCTCGGCTTTGATGCATGAATTTCGTTCATTTTTTCGAACCTTCCAGGGCGAAAAGCGAAATTGTCCTTGACTTTTTCACTTTTTGTTATATGTAAACCCGATTTGCAATTGTCTGCACTGTGGCTTTTGATGCAGGTCGATTATCACGTTTATTTTTTTCTGAATCTGTTCAATCGTGCTCATGGCCCCGCACCTGTTTTATAGCTTACGTCTGCCCAGAGTGCGATACCATTGTGACCCGAGTATGTCTTCTGTGCTCTTCGGTTATTGATCCCGGACACTTTTTCTTACAACAACCCACACATCCCTCGTTTTCGTCGTTGTCCCATCTCGACATGTATATGATACGCTCACTTGGACCGGTGGGCGCGTGTGATCGACGTCACTGCGTGTGACTCGGCTGTGACGCGACTGGTCATCGCAGTTGGCCGGGTTTAGGCGTCACAGCGAGTCACGACCACGCCCACCGTCTGCAATGATGCACGTACTTGTATATGATACGCTTGATATATGTCAAGGTATCAAGGATTATCCCAGTGACCTTGCCGGAAACCTTGTTAAGAAGTGTATGTGTTTTTTACATGAACCAAAGAACAGCGTATGAAGATCCACCTACTAATACTGCCAAGCCACGAGTCTTCAGCGATATTGAATAACTTCGCTAATTACATTAAAATAAAAGCCTAAAAAAAAGCAGACAAATTGCAATTTCGCTAAGAAAGATTCAGAAAAAATGGTGACGAAACACATCATTAATAAGGCGGGAACGCGGCGAACGCGGACCGAGAAACGACTCAAAACACAACGATTTCAACACTTATTATCACAGGCCGAATGATACCCATACAAACATCAGTGTTCTCAACACCTCAAATCACTATGAGTCATTTGATCGTTTGACGATGGTACGGCGTATTGCCCACTGATGTGGTGCGACTACACGCGCCACATTTCACTACGAGAAATCGATGTGTTTTGTACTCTCCAGCTCTCCCATAGTCTCTACTCCCTGCCGCTGCAAGCGCTAGCAAAACGCTGGTGCCGCTGGAGAAACGCTGGTGAAGCTAGATCGATATGCATCCTCTGCTCGTCTTCGGCAGCTGCCGCGGCGTACGCCTGAGAAAGCGGCTACGTACAGCGTGCTCCCCAAAAGGTGATAACACGCAGCCTAACATAAACGCGACCAGGATGCCGCCTGCACCGCCCGTCCGCCACTAATGTCTCGACCAATCCCAATAGCCTATCTGCCGCTTTAGTTTAGTGAAACGGTAAAACATGAAAGCGCAGAACAGGGAAGTGATATGAAGCGGCTGCCCAGTTGCTGCCCTATGGGATGGGAAAGCATGCAGCCGTATCCACCGTAGCGTCACTCATTGGCACGATGCCAGCGGGAAACTCGTCCGAAGTCATTTTCTGAGCCCGTAGAACAAAGCTTTTTGCAACGTTTTCGGAACTGCTTCCTTTTGCTTTTCACCCGTTTCCCTCCTTTTTTTTCCACAGTTTAGCGCCTGCTTACCTTTCTAGACAGGTACCAAATATTATTCCCAACTGTCCTGTAACCAAGGACTGTCACGTTTTAGCCATGGGCAATGCTAGCTCTCGCAGCTTGATTGAGGGCAATCAGTTTGTCGGATTGTGGCTGAATATCCTTGTTTTGGGACGTGATGTTGTTTATTCTCATTCTGCAATACTCTAGAAATCGTCTCAGTCGCTATAACAGCACTGACCTACCACAAGCATTGTCTGTCTCACGCTTGCAGAGATATACCATGATAGTTTCTTTGCTCAATGGCATTCCTGGTTCCTCTCGGGTTCTCTGCCACATTATCACCATATTGTCTGGAGTAAGCTTGTCTCCTCTGCACAAATATTTACATCCCATTTGATAATCTGATAGGGCGTATGCAGCGCGACGCGACCTGTTGGTTGCAAGCGTGCAAGCCACGGCGGTCTATGTTTTTCACACGCAAACATGATTTCGTCGCGCTAGATACTCGCAAAATACAAAATCCAGATGAAGAAAGTGATGCCCTCGTGTACTCAAAACTTGGCTGCACAATTCGGACCCGATGCGCCCTTACGGTGATTGGGATCACGATGTAATAATGGCCAAAAAAGAATAGAAGAACATAGAAAGAGAGAGTGAAGATCATCAAGAGAACTAGAACATTAACTATATTTTAGGTGGCATCCCATTGCAAACCGTGCGCCGACATTTAGGAGCGAATGGCAGAAGAACGCAAAGGGAGATAGCAAAAAGGCTTAAGCGGGCATGAGTTATACCAGGTTGTAAGGCTAGTACCCTTTAGCTATGTATCTGTGAAATTTGGCAAATCTACCCACAGAGGAAGTTCTCGAGAAATTGAAAACAAGCCTGAGTGGTGAAAATCAGTGCCGGATTTTCAAATCAGGCGTCATAACAGGAACGCTGCGCTTGTTTCCATTTGCACCTGCGCCAAGACTTTAGTAAAGAATGATGTAATATGGTGTTCTCGGAGTAATAATGTTTGGAGGTTTGGTTCAGGAGCCCGAAGAAGGAAGAAAGGAGGAAATTTGTTGTTGTGTGCGGTTCCATAATGTTCATCCTGCACAAAAAAAGGGTGGATGAAGTCAAGCGCTGAATATCTGATCACAGAGCCTGGACCCTTGTCGAGCTTCCCCGCGAGTCTGACATCCCAGCTGCAACTGCTGCCCGAGTTATGTCCCGATAAATTGGGCGATAGGGTCAAGAGACGAGTTTGGGTATCAACACTCTCTGTACAATTAAACCTGCCTCTTCCACTGCCGCTATGCTGCATGCTGAGTACCTGATTTTCTTGCGCCATAGGAAGCTTCACCGAATCGCGAGTACCATCCATGCCAGGAGCATAATGTCTCAGCGAATGGGATGTCATTACGACTACGAAAAGCGCACCCCCGCCCTATGTAAAATACGGGCGGTGGACTCGGATTCCTCGACCAAAGACTCTATAAACATCGATCAATTTGTGTTGATTTTCATACTGAGAAGCTGGCCGCAGTCCTACCATGTAAGAGATTACATTTGGGCCTCAATTGCAAGGCCAATGATAACCATTCACTCCAGACGATTTCAAGAGATTGCCCACACTGTAATCTATTCTATGCGCCTCTCCTATATGAGCGGCTAATAAAATCGATTCGTCTGTGTGTTGGCCCACCGCCATCGAAATATTAGAGCGTATTCCTCGGGCAACAGAGTGTCTCTGGTGGCAGAATGTGCAGAAGTGCTAATCACTGAGTTCGTTGTTTCTCAATACACACCCTAGTGCCAGACTCCGAGTAACTGTATTGTAGGGCAGTGCTGGGGCACAAACAATACTGAGACCTCGCCCCATTCGCTCAACATAAAGCCGTTCCAAGTGTTCTCGTCAGTGTGAGGGTACTTTTCGACGGCAAACGTCACAACGTTTTGTCATTCGCCGAAATTGGCATCAACAGCAATTTACTCACACTTGTTGAAAAACGAAGGTACCAGAGGTCCAAAGGCTTTCGGGGCACTGGGAGCGGGTCATTGGTGAAGGATTACTTAACTCAAAGCTAAAATATCACTTTTCTATCTATTCTCCTCTTTGTTTTATTCAAATAAAACCAGCGGCACGTTTGAATGGGATGACCTAATATAATAACTGAAGGAGCAAAGTCTGGAACGTCTGTTTGAAAGGCAGAATTCCTTGCTTAACTTTCTATCCATTCATGCATCAATTAATACATGTTTTAGCTAATGCTTGTTTCATTTACTATGACCCGATAGAATGGGTATGGCTATTCGCTGACACTGTATGTGGCTATATCATCTCTACCTACACTGATTGCTATACCAGTCTGGCCGTTGTCAGCGTTATTGTTTTCCTGGATTGTATCACCCTCTTGATGCTAAGGAAGAGCGTCAAAGTACGTCAGTGAAGTTTGTTTATAAATGAAAAGAATGGAAATCGGCAGCACTCGCGTGCCCAACCTTTCAAGGGCGGTTCCACAGCCGCCCTTGACAGGCTGAGGCTGTCAAGGGCGTTTACTTATTTCAGATGATGAAAGTTCAAAACCATGACACGGCATCTTCGAATTGTGCTATTCGCAGAAGGCGTCACACCGAAGTCCGCTTTTTCTGGCAGGTGAGCTTCTTTCTTTTTCCAAGCAGAAGCCTTTTGAATTTTTGGCTAAACTTCTTTCGTAGCAGCGCTGACCCTGTGATTTTTGAATCAAGCTGATTCGCCTTTTATCACCATGTATCACCTACAGCACCGGTTGTTCGGTTGATCAGCAAGTTTCTTAGAGGAGCGGTCCGCGATGACCTATGAAAATGCAAGAGGTTATGTGGGAAGGTAGTGCGGTCCGGAGTGGACAACCCTGTGCCAGTTTCGCGGCGGAAAGTTGTACGGTAAAGGATTAAGGCGCAAAGTTGCTTCAGTGGTACATCCCTTTTTCCAGTGACTCCGCCTCCAGACTCCGCCTCCAAAGTCGGCCTTCCAGCCAAAAGTAATGCTCCCGGGCAAGTATCATGGAGTGGATGCATTCAATGTCTCTTGTAGAGTCATAGGGTTCATTACTGGGAATCAGCCGACGGGAATCGTCCCAGTGGCATTTTCTCTTCATAGATGGTTCACTTGGCGAATTTTCTTCCATATTTCTGCAAAATCACCTAGGCTTTTTACCGCGGACCGTGCCTTTGAAAACAGCCCCCGCGCTTGAGTACATATAGTCGTCCTTCCTTGTGCAAGTAGCACAGCCCAAGCTAGAGACTGTCCCACTCTCGCGACTCCACAGCGAGCGAGGAGCGAGCTACAGCTGCTGAAAGTTCTAGTTCTAACGCCCGCCCAGTTGGACCGCCCACTTGCTAGATGCCCTCTGACGGAGGCCGCTCAGTTGTTCTTTGTTGGGGCGGTTTTTGATGACCGCGCTCGTGCCCATGAATGATTCTGCTCTCCTTTATTACATTTTATTTATTGGAGCACATACAGTCAACTCCAACCCATCTTGCAAGGTAAAACGCGTAAAAATCACGAGCGACCCA